ATATGTTCCCGAAATTAGTAAATAATTATTTAATTTCTATTTTTTAGATGCCCCATACCCCGCACACACCACATACACCTGGCGGTGCCAGTCATCCCATGACACCAGGCGGTCCACCTTCGGTTAGTTCGGCACACAACGAGCCCATGAATGCAACACCGAATAATAATTCCAGTAATCACAATTCACCCCAAACACCAGGCACTCCTAACAATCGCATGTCTACTGGTAACAGTACACAACAACAACAACAAGATGGTCAGCAGCAACAACAACAAACACAACAACAGTCACAACAAGAACAAATTATAAACTCATTAATAAATTCACAAACATCCGATTTAGTGAATCTCAATGAGGGCGATTTAAATGCCGAACTAAATAGTTTTGATCCATCAAATATGAATCATGCCGATGCCGCCAATGATTTGAATGTAAGTATCAACGGGAAAAAGCCTTTTATTTTAAGAATTTATCAAGATTTATTAATTTTAATTTTTTTTTTATACTTTCAGCTGCTCTCAGATGTTGATCCTTTGGAAATTTTGTCTTATTTAGATCCTCAACCGGATTTAAATACCCCACCCTCTAGCGGCTCTAGTAATAACAATAACAATGAAGATATTTTGGCCTCTTTATTTGATTAAATTAAATTAACTATTATAATCTTTATTATATGCTTTAAAATCAACCATTTTAATAGGTGTGTTCATTAACTAAAACAAACTGAAAAACGATTTACTTGTTAAAGTAATTTCTAGTTTAATACAAACACACCTAATGTATATAAATAAATAAAAACATTTCCTTCAATAACAACAGCAAATCCTTTATCAAAAATTAAAAAAAAAAAAAAAATCAAATATTTAAAAGTATAAAATAAAGCTAAAACTGAATATTTAGAAAAATTTATGATAAAAACAACCAATCCCAACTTAATAAACTATATTGTAAATAGTATTACTAAATTAAAATATATATTAATATAAAAAGCGTACGATGATGTTTAATTTTCAAACTAACGAAATATTGAAATTTTGTGAAAAAAGCTTATAAACAAAAAAAAAAGTGTTTTAAAAAAACTAAACTACACAAAAACTTTAAAAAGAAGAAATAAACGATTTTGAAAACAATGAAATGTGATTTTAAAAATTAAAAACTTTAAAAAAAATAATTTAATTATATACATACTTATAAACAAAAATAAAACAACAGTTATAATTTTGAATATTCTATTTTATTTGTTATATTTTGCAAAATTTCTTTAAAGTTTTTTATTAAAAATATTTTATAACAAACGCTTTTTTAACTATTATTTTTATTGAAAAAAAAAACATTTTTTTATTTAAAATGTTTTATTTTATTTAATTTTTCTTACAACTTGTACAAAGTATTAAAATTTTTTTATATATATTTAAAAACAAAATCAATACAAAAATTGTTAAATAATTTTAAATAATTAAAACCTTATACTTAAACAAATATTATATTAATTAATAAAAAAACCCTATTATGCTTAAAATTATACAAAACAAAAAAAAAAAAAAATTAGTTAAATAAGTTGTAATTTTTAAATTAACATAAAAATAAAAACACAAAAAAATTTATTCAAAAATTATGCAAACAGAACAGAATTTAAGTATTTAAGTGTAAAATTAATTTATATTTTAAGTTGTATATACAAAAAGAAAATCATAAAATATAAAAGAAATACATAAATAATTATATATATATATAAAAATAAAAAGAAAGAAAATGTACACAAATTATAAAAACAACAAAATAAACAAATGTATTAAATGAAAACCGAAAAAAAAACAACAAAACCAGAGTATTTTTATTTTTTCCAAATAAAATTTTCATTTCAAACGCAATAAAACTCAATAACAAAACTTAACGAAAGAAACAAAAATCCAAATTTAATTACAAGTACAAAATCAGCTTTTTCAAAAGCTTTGTTTTCATAAAAAAATATAATATAAAAAAAAAATAATTAAATTTCAAATAATTTGCTTTATAATTAACAGCCAAATAAAACCAAGGACCAATTTTTTATCACCAATCCCCCGCCCTAACTCCCTTCAACATAACAAGCATATAACACACGCGTAACTAAACTATATCAGGCATGGAAAATCGATATTTTGAAATAGTACTTCCCTATAACAAAAATAGTACTTTATAGATTTCAAAGTACTAAACTAATCTTCCGCTAGACTGTAGACTAGAATATGGACCAGACTATTGACTAGTCTATGGACTAGACTACAGACCAGAATAAAGACTAGGCTACTGACCAGACTACTAACAATAGACTAGACTATAGACTAGACTATAGACAAGACCATAGACTAGACTTTATACTAGTCTATAGACTAGACTATATACAAGACCATAGACTATATTATAGACTAGACTATATACTAGACTATATACTAGACTATAGACTAGACTATAGACTAAACTATAGACTAGGCTATAGGCTAGACTATAGACGAGACTACAGACTAGACTATAGACTAGACTTTAGACTAGACTATAGACTATAGACTAGACTATAGACTAGACTATAGACTAGACTATAGACTAGACTATAGACTAGACTATAGACTAGACTATAGACTAGACTATATACTAGACTATATACTAGACTATAGACTAGACTATAGACTAGACTATAGACTAAACTATAGACTAGACTACAGACTAGACTATAGACTAGACTATAGACTAGACTATAGACTAGACGATAGACTAGACTATAGACTAGACGATAGACTAGACTATATACTAGACTATAGACAAGACCATAGACTATATAGCAGATTATAGACTAAAGACTAAACTACAGACTTGATTATATACTAGACTACCGTCTATATTATAGACTGGGCTACAGACTATACTATAGACTAGGCTATAGACTATGCTATAGTCTAGACTATAGACTAGACTTTAGCCTAGATTATAGACTAAACTAAATACAGAGAGAATACAGAGTAGACTAGACTATAGAATGTAGACCAGACTAGACTAGACTATAGACAAGACCATTGACTAGATTATAGTCTAGACTATATACTATACTAAGACTAGACTATAGACTAGATTATAGACTAGACTATAGACTAGACTAGACTATAGACTAAACTATAGATTATACTACAGACTAGACTATAGATTATACTATAGACTAGACTATATACTAGACTATACACTAAACTATAGACGAGACTATAGACTAGACTATAGACTAGACTATAGATTATACTACAGACTAGACTATAGATTATACTATAGACAGGACCATAGACTATATTATAGACTAGACTATAGACTAGACTATATAGACTAAACTATAGACTAGACTATATACTAGACTATAGACTAGACTATAGGCTAGACTATATACAAGACCATAGACTAGACTTTATACTAGTCTATAGACTAGACTATATACAAGACCATAGACTATATTATAGACTAGAGTATATACTAGACTATAGACTAGACTATAGTCTAGACTATATACTAGACCAGATTAGAAACTTTCCTATAGTTTAAACTATAGACTAGATTATAGACTAGACTATATACTAGATTATAGAATAAAGACTAGATTATATACTAGACTACCGTCTGGAATATAGACTGGACTATAGACTGTATTATGGACTAGAATATAGACTAGACTATAGACAAAACTAAATAATTAATTACAGACAAAACTATAATACATATAGACTAGAATAAACTACAATCTGGTCTGTTGTGGACTATTTACCCAAAATTTATAAGGTAGAATACGTATCGAAAATGTGGTGGTGCCGAGATATCGAAAAGTACTAAATTTTTCATGCCTGAACTAAGTTCTCAAAATCAAAAGCCAATAATTTTTCAAAACACTTTTCCTACATTTAACAAAAAAATAAAAAATATATAATAAAACAAGTGATGGTGTAATTAAAACAACTCAATTTAAATAAAAATTTAAAAAAATCAACAACAAGCAACATTTAATTTTATAAAAAAAAATCGTAGTTAAATAAATCTTATCTTTAGCTTCTAAAGTAGACTTTTTTCAATGTAACTATAGTAATTAACAAACATTTTTAGATTATAAAATAATTTATATATAAAAAAAATCATTAAAAATAAACAGTAGTGGTTTCATTATGTAAAAAATTAAAAAAAAATATTAATATACTATATACTTATATGTATATAGTTCTATATATTTCGCTTGTGTAAACAAATAAAAGTGCATAAATGTGATTTTATTAAATAAAATTTAACATTCAACTTAAAAACAAAAACAAAAAATACACATAAAATTCAAATCAATCCTCCCAACAAATAAAACAAATTGAAAAAAAAAATATCTCAAAAATAATAATTTGGTGTAAATATCAAATTTAAATCAAATATTTGAATGTAAACAAAAGGAATTATTATATTAACAAAAAAAAGCAACAACAAAAAAATATAAAAAACATAATTTAATTATTATGAATTATTTAAATAAAATAAAATATAAAAATTAAAAAAATAAATAACATCATTGAAAGGCCCATCTTTAAATAACTGAAGATAAAATTAACTGGTTGAAAAAGTTAGACTTGTGTATTATTTATGGCTGGGCCTTAAACGAGTTTTACTTTCGATGCAAAACAAATGTTATATTTCAATTTTAACAAGTTAGGAGAGTAGAAACTCAGGCAGTAATCTCCATGAACCTTATCTAAAAATTTCGGATCGAATCGAATTTTCCATCAAATTTTAAAGAAAAGTAAATTTTGAAAGATTTAATTTCGCGTAATTAATTTTGAAGAAGAAAAAAATCTTTGTTTATTAATAACACAGGCCAACAAATTTTTAACACAGAGTTCAAAGTATACTTTTCAGAAGGATTGAGCAGTTCTGAATTAAAATTTGGCCTCAGATATCTCGAAGTAAAAACAAGTAAGAGTGCTGCCGAGTCTTATATACCCACCACCAAAGCATATGCTAACACGACTTACTAATTTATTAGATTAATGTTGAATTTTATAATAGTTTGTGAGTAGTAATATGATAATGATATTCGGAATACGGCTTTTATAGTTGGGATTATGAACCGATCTCCAAGGAATTAATTCAAATCCTTTTTATGTCAAATTATATCATAATACAGAAATGAAAGAGGGGACTGGTCTAATTATGAACCGATCCACATACAATTTTAGAAGATTTTAAAATTTTGAAGAAAACTTGATTATGACGATTTTTTTAAGAAGGTATGAGCATTTAAATCATTTTCTAAAGTAAACTTTATACAGGGTCTTGAATCCAATATGAACTATAAAACTTGTTTTGGTCGAAACTAATAAGGTGAAGTCATTTCAACAGCTGATTGTTTTTTTTTTGTCCATTGAAATAAGGCCTAAAGCTGTCAAACTCCGAGAAACCGAGACTGTCAAACTCCAAAAATAAAAAATTTCATGAATTCGACGCAAAATGAAATGACTTCACTTTGGGTCGAATTTTATTGTTATACTGGTATAGCTAGGTTATGAGCGTTAAATTCATTTTCTAAAGAGGATTTTATATGGCGAGATAGGTACAATTATGGACCGATCCATATAAGATTTGGTTGAAAATTTTAGTTTTATATTACTTGTTTATATCAAATGTTATTGTTATACTAGTATTCATTGTTGCCAATTTGACGTTTTTCCCGTCAAATATGACGTTTTTGAAATGGCAATTGCGGGACAAAATGCGTTTTAGCGGTTAGCGGGAAATTTGGCGATTTTTAACCACGTATAAAATGGAATAATTATATACATATAGTCAAATCTTATTTCTAGTGATTAGTATAGTGTATATTCTAGTATATAGTCCAGTCTGTAGTCTAATATATAATCTAGTCTATAGTATAGTATAGTCTAGTCTATACTCTAGTCTATAGTCTAGTCTATAGTATAGTATAGTCTAGTCAATAGTCTAGTCTATAGTCTAGTCTATAGTCTAGTATATAGTCTAGTCTATAGTCTAGTCTATAGTCTAGTCTATAGTCTAGTCTATAGTCTAGTCTATAGTCTAGTTTATAGTCTAGTCTATAGTCTAGTCTATAGTCTAGTCTATAGTCTAGTCTATAGTCTAGTCTATAGTCTAGTCAATTGTCTGGTCTATGGTCTTTAGGCTAGTCTATGGTCTTTAGTCCAGTTTATAGTCTAGTGTATCGTCTTAAAAATTAATAAGGACCCAAAATATATGTAATTTTGGGTCTACGATCAATATTACAAATGAAGTGACGAAATTATATATACCATATATAACAGTGGTTATTTAAAACCGACATACATATTAGACTTTGAGATGACATAACAGATTTTATAAATAAATGTATTTTCGTTCTGTGTAAATGACACGATATCTGGAAAACCTGCTGTGATGGATAATGTCTGAGGATTCATATTTAGTACTGCTTAATGTAACATGGTCTCTGGGATTCGTTATTTCGAAACTAAAGCTTCAAAAATCTATTCGTGAGGCTCGGTAGTAAGGGGGTTAGAAGGTCTACACGGACAGACAGACGAACGAACATCACTTAATCGAACTCCGAAAATTATTCTAAACCGATGAGTATACTCTAAGATGGAAGCAATATTTTAATGCCTTACAAACATCAGCACAAACGTAACATAACACCCTCCTCACTATGGTGTTGAAAGGTGGGTGTAGGGTATAATAACATAGTTAAATATATCTGTAACTTCTTAATGGTTAGACCAATTAAATAAGAAACAAAATAGAGTTCTCTATTCAGCTATGCCGAATCTTAAATACCATCCACCATACTACAATGTTTATAACATTTAACAAATTGTGAATCATCAGGGTTTTATGGGAGCAATGACTAATTATGGACCAATCCGGAAAAAATTTTGGAAAGTGATATCCGATATCTTCTTTTGTAAATAAGCTAATATACAAACATTCAAGTAATTTTCGGAAGTGGACCTCATATGGGAACTATGACCAATTATGGACCGATTGATCTAGGTAAGGAATATAATTTCTATTGATATTCATTTTCATTTTGTGGTGATAGTGATATTTTAGAAGCAGTTATTAACGATGAATCCATTTCCGAGAATTTGTACTTTTGTATGGGGTCTATGAGAAATTTTGGATTGATTGTTATGATTTTGAACATAATTGATCCCTGAGCGTAAAAAGTTACATGTGACAAAATTCATCGAGTTATCTTTGGTAGCTTCTGAGAAAACTACTCAAGAGTTAGGAAAAAACTTAATTTTTTTATTGAGGTAGTCTTTTTAATTTTTACATTGTGCGTATTTTAGGCAAACATAACTAAATCTACTCAGAATTTCATAACCAGGAATATAATATACTTTGTTAGGCCTCAGATGAATATTTTATGGTATTACAGGCGGAATGACAAACTTATATTATAACCTCTATCACCACTGATGGAAGTATAGAGAACAAAAATCAATACTTGTTCCTAAGTTATCGTTCACGAATCAGCTACATTTTGGAGTTTCAAATATTACGTACACCACAAACATGTTATGATAAATAACTTGCCTACATACTTTAAGTTCAAATAAAAGTCCATGTTGTATTTTTGGGGATTTTAATTTTTCTTTCATAGATCAGAACGTAAGACTTAATGCAATAATAAACATTACAAAAATGTTATACATACTATAATAATAGTTATTAATCCGTTTAAATACTACCACTATATATAAATGAATCTTCAATGTTGTTTTTATCTCTCTCTCTTTTTCAAAGCAATTGTTTTTAAGCTTATAAATTCGTTGTTTTGCACTCAGTTCCAACGACTTTTCTTAGTTTTACGTTTTTCCCCTTGAGCATTACTATTGGCATTATTCATTAATGAAGGCGGAGGTGGTGCGGGTGCTGCAAATACTCCAGTTTCGGGAACAGTTTCCTCCCATGTTCGATCAGTTGAAGGTTTAAATTGTGATTGATATTGTGAACGAAAAGCTTCACGCATGGCTGCATAGCGATCTGTGGCCGGACCAGCAGAAGACAAAGATTTACTAGTAGAAGTAAAGCTTGAACTAGAACTAAAATCATTAGACGTTGCGGATGAGGAAGAAGACGATGATTTTGAGCCAAAGCCAGAGCGTTCACGATAACCTAAGCCAGTATGGTTACCAGTGGGCTTTTTGCCTTTGCCCTGCTTAAAGCGCGAGCTACGGAACCAAGAACTTTTCATGGCCAAATCCATTAAATCATCGGGCACTTGTTGATCGGCTCCCTCCAAATTGCGCACCAAATGACCAGCAAATTCTTTATCTTTTTCTGTTACCAGTGTATAAGCTGTGCCCTTTTCACCCGCTCTACCGGTACGACCAATACGATGGGTATGTGTATCAATATCTCGAGCTATGTCATAGTTAACAACATTCTTAATATGGGGTATATCCAAACCACGAGCTGCAACATCTGTGGCCACTAGAATATCGCATTCCTTACGTTTAAATTGTGTTATGACTTTATTACGATCTGCCTGATCCATGTCACCATGTAGCAGCAGACAATTATACTCTTTAACTAGCAAATTATTGGCCACCGATTCGGCGTCTGCTTTTTTGGTGACAAAAATCAAAACACTTCCTTCGGAAAGAAAACGTACTAGATTCAAAAGCAACCAGTTCCATTTTTGCATGGGATTTGGAAAAACGTATACATATTGTGTAATGTCTTGATTGGCCTCATTGAGATCGCCTTGGACAATGCGCACAGGATCGGTTAAAACATCACGAGCCAAGCGTTCAATGCGTTTCTTAAAAGTAGCCGAAAAGAGTAGAGTTTGACGATCTGGTCTGACATGATTACAAATTGAACGGACCTAAAATAGAATAAGAATACAATAATAGCAACAAATTTAATAATAATTAAAATTTTATAAAAAGCAAAAGCATACGTATCCGGTTTAGTTTAACCTATTCTTTTAAATTATTCAATAATATTCACCTGAGGCTCAAAACCCATATGAAACATGCGATCTGCTTCATCCAAAACCAAAAATGTAACTCTCCTTAGATTTGTGGCTTTCATTTTAACCATGTCTATCATACGACCTGGTGTGGCTACTACAATTTCAGCTCCTTGCTCTAATGCCTTACTCTGTTCCCATTTAGAGCCACCGCCGTAACAGCAAACTACATTGATATTATACACCTTACCAAATTTCTTAGCTTCGTTGTAGATTTGCAAGGATAATTCACGAGTGGGAGCTAAAATCAAACCAATAGGACCATCGCCTGGTTTAAGTTCACGTTGATCCATTATATGCACCAACATGGGCCAAATAAATGCAGCCGTTTTACCAGAACCTGTTTTAGCAATACCTATAAGATCTCTACCGGCTAAAGCAGCTGGTATGGCTTGCGCCTGTATAGAAGTAGGCTGGGTATATTCAGCCTTACGTATGGCCTTCATCAGTGGCTCATCAAAGCCAAAGTGACCAAATGAGGTTACCGGCTTAGGTGGCTCTGGGCCTGTCACCTTAACACCTAAAGTTTTGCGCAAATCTCTAACTTGTTCCTCGTCCAAATTGGCAATGTCTTCATGTGGAGTATAGAAATTTTTCTCAAAACTTTCATATTCGATTTCGGAATGGTAAATGGGAGGAAGAGGATCAATATTTTTATTTTTGGTGGAGCTATGGGGTTGCCATCTTCATCGTATTCAATTTCAACATCAGAACCATCATCCCTTAAGCCAGCTTGAGGATTTTCTTCCATATAACGATAGTAACTTTCTTCATCATCTTCTTCGTCTATATCACCTCTTACGCCCTTGGATTGACTAGAACCCAGGCCAGCAACTGCTGCCACACTGCTATCTTTGCGTACTTTTTCCTTTTCCACCTGTTGTTCTATACCAGCCATAAATTGATCCAGAGGATCTTCATCTGAATCACTTTCCTGTTGTTTGCCCTTTTCATAGCCGGGAGAACCTGGTGCCGGTTGATAAGCTTGTTGTTGAGGTGCCGGTTCGTCATCATCATCAAAGTAGTCATCCTCAGTGCAGGCCTTACGCTTCCCTATGTAATTTTGTGAGTTGGAAAACTGACTTATAGACTCTAAGGTAGTGTAACCATATTTAGAGGTACCAGCCGCACTTGTGCTATCCTTTATTTTACCCTTTTGATAGCCACGATGATTAAGTGATGAAGGTGGTGGCACTGCATTCATAGAAGCACCTCCACGATTAGAGTTTGATTTGTAAGGGAAGCCACCACCTCCTATGCCACGATAATTACTCATTTTTCAATTCTATAAATTATTTCCTTAATACAAATACACTTTTCTTCCTTAGAAAAGAAAACACTTTTAGCAAATAAAGATTTTTTTTATAAACTCTCAAACTATTTTTTCTCGCGTCGATTATTTTTAGTTGTCAATTTACTGAGAACTGTGTCAACCCAGAAAGAAAACAAATTCAAGTAATATTTGACATTTGAATGAAATGCTTACTAAACACAGCTTAACAGCTGATGTTTATTTACAAATATTGAAAGATTGTTTATAAAAATTGTAAAATTACAACAATCTTTGGAAAATTTAAGAAAATGGTAGAAAAGGCTGCACAGGATTATAGTAAAATTTTACAAAGTGTTAGTTTAGATAAGGAGGTATAGTATAATTTAAATAGACTACAAAGAAGTTACCAATTAACAACCGTAATCTTTAAATTACAGATTAATCCCATATGTATGAGTATAGAAGATATGTTGACAAGACTTGATGAGTTGGAATCTTTATTGGTCAATGTAAATAAATATGTAAATATTAAAAGAACGATTTAAACAATATGTATTTTAATTTTGGCAGGTTAAGGGCGAAAATAATGTTATAATGGATCAATATACCAACAGTATTTTAGCATTTACGCCACAATTTGAAGTTCTTAAACAGCGCATCGATCAATTGGAACATTTTGTCGAAGTGGTTAATAACAATGTGGATGAGGTAGAGAAATCAATAGATATAGCGGAAGCTGAACTAAATGTTACCGACTACAGTTTAAAGGGCTTACTGTTCAAGCCGCTGTTGGCTAAAGCTAAATCTGTTTCAGAGTCAAATGCCCAGTCGCCGGTAGAAGATCCTGTAATAGCTACGAATCTTAAAGATGGTCAATTTCAAGCAGTGCCAATTTTTAATACTTCAGATTATTTTAATAGCGATATCTCCTCATAAATATAGGTTTGTCATGTTTTTTTTTTTTTTCAACATTAACAACAAAGTGCCTAAAATATGCTTTTAAATAATTTGAAATTCAAGTAATGAAATAGTTTTTAAGATAAAAATTAAATAAGTTTATTAATTTTGTACGACATAGAACAAACATTAACGGAATATTATTTTTTATGGATGTTAATTTCAATAATAATTTTACTTCCTTAATTTGTAAATTACAAAAACTTAAGTTTTCTTAATACTGATGTTAAATTCTGATTTATTTATTTATTTGATTTGTTTATTTGCACAAATTTCCATATGTTCAAATTCACACGTTTTTTAATAAATTTCACTAAAAACTTTCCTTACTTTTAAAAATATAAAAAAAAATAACTAGACCAATTTAATATACAATTGTTGAATTAATTATGTTTTTAATTACGACTTTTAATATTTAATAAGTTTTGCAAACAATTGTCGCCGATTCCATAAAGTCTATAAAATAACAACAGTATTAAATACTATAAAAACTAAAATAAAATTCAACAAATTTGGTTTGTTTTCTTTTAACAATTAAGTGTTAACTGGTGATTCAAAATAAATATTTTTACAATAAAAATAAGCTATACCTATTTTCTATTGATGCCATAATAAACAAAATCAAAAACATGGTTTCTTCAGGGCAGTATTACAATAATCGTTTTCGAGAAAAAGCATTTTATTTATTATTTTTAATACGAAATTTGTAGAAAAAAATTGCAAGTAGATGTTGTTAGTAGTAATTAGCGTTATATTATGAATTGGTTTATTATAAAGAAAACTTTTCGAGAGATATTTTAACAACTGATATCTGTTAAAATAAACTTTAAGCTTAAAATCTATAAAAGTGTCGACTCGAATGAGTTTAAATTTAGTATTTAACGGATTTTAAGCAGGAATAAGACGCAGCTCGTAGTACATAATGAAAGCTTTCGTAAGTTATTAAATAATTAAAATAAAAAGATGAACAATTTATATAAATAAATTATTTATTATTTAGGCCATAATTGTCACAATAGTGGCATGTGCTTATGCGGCACCTACTGCGGAATTACAGCATCCCAGTCCGGTTAATCCTAATGTTTTAGTGGAAATAAAACCAGAAGAGAAAATTATTTTAATAACTGATCCCAAAGAGTTGGCTAAATTTAAAAGAGAAACTAAACAACCATTGTATCCGACTGTTTTACCTGGAGAACATGTACATCATAGAACTAAACGCGAAGTATCACAAAAACCCGAAGAATTCCAAAAACCTCAAGTTTTATCGGATATTTTACCAGCAGAAGTTGTAGCTGGGGAACCAAAAAACAGTCTTCAAGTTGAAACAATAAATAACAACAACGATAATAAGAAATCTCAAGAAGATCAGGAGAAAGATGAACAAAATATTACAACTGAAGTTTATCAAAAACCTCAAGGTCTTCCAGCCATATTTTCTCCTTCAAATAAAGCTATACAACAGCAGAAACGTGACATTCCCGTACCATTAGTAGCAAAACATCAGCATCCTGAAGAATCTCCCAAAGAGACTAATGAAAAAGAAACCGACAAAGAAACTCATGATGATCAGAAAGTAAAAGAAGTTTTTCAAAAACCTCAAGGTTTGCCAGCCATATTTTCACCAGCAACTGATGGTGTACAACCACAAAAGCGTGATATTCCAGTGCCTTTAGTTCCAAAGTATCACCATCCTGAGGAGTCTCCAAAAGAAAGCAATGAAAAAGAAGATCATAACAATCAGAAAGAAGTTAATTTAGAAAATCATCATGTTCCTCAAACATTGCCCGCTCACAATGAAGATCATGTTACAACTGATGGATTCCAAAAACCTCAACCACTTCCTTTAATTTTAAAAGATAATCATGAAGACAATCAACATAAACGTGATATTCCAGTACCTTTAGTTCCAAAGTATCATCATCCTGAAGAGTCTCCCAAAGAAAGCAATGAAAAAGAAGATCATGACAATAGGAAAGAAGTTAATTTAGAAATTCATCATGTCGCTCAAACATTACCCGCTCAAAATAATGATCATGTTACAGCTGAAGGATTTCAAAAACCTCAAACACTTCCTTTAATTTTAAATGATAATCATGAAGACAACCAACATAAACGTGATATTCCAGTACCTTTAGTTCCAAAGTATCACCATCCGGAAGAATCTCCCAAAGAAAGCAATGAAAATCATGACAATAACAAACAAGTTAACTTAGAAATTCATCATGTTCCTCAATCATTACCCGCTCATAATGAAGATCACGTTACAACTGAAGGATTTCAAAAACCTCAAACCCTTCCTTTAATTTTAAAAGAAACTCCTGAAGAAACTCAACATAAACGTGATATTCCAGTACCTTTAGTTCCAAAATATCACCATCCTGAGGAGTCTCCAAAAGAAAGCAACGAAAAAGAATATCACGAAGAAAAGGAAAACGTTAAAACTGAAAATCACAATGTGCCTCAAACATTAGAAGCTCACAATCAGGATCATGTCTTAACCGAAGGTTTGCAAAAACCTCAAACACTTCCTTTCAACTTAAAAGAAACTTCTGAAGACACTAAACAAAATAAGCGTGATATTCCAGTTCCCCTAGTACCTAAATATCACCATCCTGAGGAATCTCCAAAAGAATGCAACGAAAAAGAAATTAATAATGAAAATCATGTCCCTCTAATACTACCAGCTCACCATCAGGATCATGTCATCATAGAAAGTAACCAAAAGGCTCAAACACTTCAGGAAACTCCAGAAGACTCCAAACAAAATAAACGTGATATTCCAGTACCTTTAGTGCCTAAACACCATCATCCCGAAGAATCAATCAAAGAAAACAATGAAAAGGAATCGCCTGAAAATAAGAAAGAAGTCAATTTAGAAAAAACCGCAACAACCTCAAACAGCTGCCAAAGAATCCAATGAGGACCCGCAACAGCAAAAACGTGATGTTTTGGAAACTAAAGGTGGATCGTCAAATGACAACAGTAACGAAAAGAAACCACACGAAGAAAATTCTCAACAACACCATGTTCCACAAATTCACCACATTGCTCAGACCTTACCAAATTACCAGCACGAACAACATGCTAATTTTGAAGCCATTCATAGGCCTCAATTTTTGATCAAACATCAAGAGCACCATAATGACAACGATAAGAGTGAAGATGATGTAAAACCACATCATATATCTCAAACATTGCCCGCACATATTCATAAACATCTTGCCGCGGAAGGACTGCCAAAATCTCAAATTCTACCAGCTCACAATCAGGAACACATAATATCTACAGCTGCTCTAACCCATTTACCCGCCCACTTTCACCCTGAAGACTTAAAGAAACCACAAACTTTACCAGCAGTTACACTTCAACAAAAATCAGACATTTCCGCTCCAGTTGTGAGTCATCAGCACGAAGAAGAGAAAAAAGCCACTGAAGATCATCATCCAAATAAACATGAAGTACAAGTGGAGGATCTTTCAGAATCTAAACCATTTCAACAACCTATCCATCATGTTCTTTCCATGCAAGGAGATCACAAGCCAAATATTCTAGATGATCATTTAAGTTCTCATGATTCCACAACTTCAACTACAACAGTTAATCCCATTTTAAGACATCGACCAGTGCCAGTTGCAGAACTTTTTGCCAGGTATTTGGATTAAAATTTGTATTTTAATAAAAATCAAGAAGTGTAATTTTTTCCATTTACAGAACCCATGGTAATTGAAAGTGTAAACGATGAACTGGTTTAATAATTATGAAATATGATGATGCTAATTAGTTACGACCACTATACACATTTTGCGCAATCACATTGATCTGGTTAAATTTGTGTTGGAATCAATTCTTTCAATACGAATAGAAAATAATATGTATTTATTTGTTTAAATTATTTTTTATAATAAATAGCGAAATAAAGGTATTTTTAATGAAATCTTGATATGCATTGATATTTAAGTAATGACCACAAAGGCTAACTAACTAACTAACTAACTAACTAACTAACTAACTAACTAACTAACTAACTAACTAACTAACTAACTAACTAACTAACTAACTAACTAACTAACTAACTAACTAACTAACTAACTAACTAACTAACTAACTAACTAACTAACTAACTAACTAACTACTAACTAACTACTAACTAACTAACTAACTAACTAACTAACTAACTAACTAACTAACTAACTAACTAACTAACTAACTAACTAACTAACTACTAACTAACTAACTAACTAACTAACTAACTAACTAACTAACTAACTAACTAACTAACTAACTAACTACTAACTAACTACTAACTAACTAACTAACTAACTACTAACTACTAACTAACTAACTACTAACTAACTAACTAACTAACTAACTAACTAACTAACTAACTAACTAACTAACTAACTAACTAACTAACTAACTAACTAACTAACTAACTAACTAACTAACTAACTAACTAACTAACTACTAACTAACTAACTAACTAACTAACTACTAACTAACTAACTAACTAACTAACTACTAACTAACTAACTAACTACTAACTAACTAACTAACTAACTAACTAACTAACTAACTAACTAACTAACTAACTACTAACTAACTAACTAACTAACTAACTAACTAACTAACTAACTAACTACTAACTAACTAACTAACTAACTAACTACTAACTAACTAACTAACTAACTAACTAACTAACTAACTAACTACTAACTAACTAACTAACTAACTACTAACTAACTAACTAACTAACTAACTAACTAACTAACTAACTAACTAACTAACTAACTAACTAACTAACTAACTAACTAACTAACTAACTAACTACTAACTAACTAACTAACTAACTAACTAACTAACTAACTAACTAACTAACTAACTAACTAACTACTACTAACTACTACTAACTAACTAACTAACTAACTAACTAACTAACTAACTAACTACTAACTAACTAACTAACTACTAACTAACTAACTAACTAACTAACTAACTAACTAACTAACTAACTAACTAACTAACTAACTAACTAACTAACTAACTAACTAACTAACTAACTAACTACTAACTAACTAACTAACTAACTAACTAACTAACTAACTAACTAACTAACTACTACTAACTAACTAACAAGCTAAGCTTTTAACATTTTTAAATACAATAGTTTATTAATTTATGTTTAGATCTTCGAATTCTGACTTTGATGGCAAATATTATTTATATTAGCAACACCCTGTTTAAAGAATTATTTGATTTGAGTCACTCCGTTACAAATGCTGTCAAAAAAACTGTGGCTGTGTTCATTACAAGTGTTTATGTTTTTTATTGAAAAATTTACGTGTCGGCAAATTAGTATTAAAACTAGTTAAATTTACAAAAAAAATGAATAAAATAATATTTCTATTACTAACTATATATGTAGTAAGTAGTATTTAAACTTAGAAGATATGTAACATAAATAATTAATATAATTTTCTAAAGTCATATACATTAGGTGAATTCACGGCGAATGATTGCCGTGAATTGGGTTTCATCAAAGGCCAACTAATGTGTTCCAGTTGTGAGAAGCTGGATGATTTTGGTTTGGAAACGCTAAAGTAGGTATTTTAACCTAGTTAAAAGTAAAACATAAACGTTTCTTTGTTTACCTCCACTTTAGACCACATTGCCGTGAATGCTGTACCTTGGATGAATTGCCAGCCGCCCAGCGTCGCTATCCCAAAGCTATATTAGAAGTTTGCACCTGTAAATTCCGTGCTTACCCACAAATCCAGGCCTTTATTAAGAGTGGTCGTCCCGCAAAATTCCCCAACTTGACCATTAAATATGTGCGTGGTTTAGATCCCATTGTTAAATTGTTGGACAAAACCGGTAATGTTAAGGAGACTTTATCGATTACTAAATGGAACACCGATACGGTGGAAGAATTTTTCGAAACTCATTTGGAAAAGGTGGGATCTGGCGGTGCCAAGCAATCTTATAGTGTTATAGAAGAAGAAGAGGATGATGATTTTTTGAGAACAAATTTAATATGAAATTAAAATAAGTTTTCCATTTTACTAGCTAGTTTTCATTGTAATTTTTGAAACGATGAGAAAAATGTACTTCATCTTTTGTTCATAGCATTCCTTAACAATGTCATAGTAAATTATACAATCAATTAATTGAAAATATAAAAAAACGTAAAATTTCATAACAAATATGAATGATTGTTTTATTTTATATATTTTCATTCATGCTGCATGTAAAATTTTATGTTTTGCAATCATTCAGTATTATAAAAAAATTAAAACTTTTTAGTTAAATAGCAAAAAAGTAGCAAAAAAATCCTTTTTTACAGACTAATTATGCTAGTTATAAAACGAAGAAATATCAGAGAGTGCTCTTTTATATATAACTATTTCATTTAATATTTCATCAGGATGCTGCGTGTTTAATTTTATATTTCTATGTTCAATATTATAGAAAACTCAAAAATCAAAGCGGTACTTTTCCCTCCGCATTGACGAATTAAAAATTTGATTCCAAAAAGTTGCAATGTGATCGCGGGAGACCATCTTTAAGTACTAATATGTATAAATCAATAAATAGGATACAATGTTTTGTCTAATAGGTACCAAAAATAGGTACCATTCCAATCTCCAAAACGTCCCAATATCCAAAAAGTACTAAATTTGTATTTTTTTCAATAGGTTATAAATGAATTATAATTTTTATTTCTAATGTTTCCAAAAAGGACGAATTTCCAAACATTTCTAATTTAACAGCGATAAATATTAAAATTTTGTTGTACCTTTTACATTAGGAGATATGAGGCTATCGAATTTAAACCGTTTTTATCCTATTTCAGCTTTCTAGCTTCAACCCTTTAAGCTGTGCGATGATGAATCATTCAGCCAGTCAGCCTAATGATTTCAACACATAATTTTTGAAATTCTTTATAAATAAGGAAAATTGTATGAAATTGTACTTGAGGTACTGAAAAAGTAAATCTTTGGTTTTGTAATGAACATTTTAATATCTATAATACAACAACAATGTTTTGCCCCAGTAAAATACAGTATTAAATTCAAGTGATGTCAAATAAATAAATCTCTAATAAAACGATTCTTTAATAACAAATATTTCAAAATTGTGTCGTGATAATCACTATTATTAATAAATAATTAAATTGATAAATAATAACAATTAAAAACCAAACAAAAACAGTAGAAAATATTGGAAAATATAAATGTTTTTTTTTTAATAACAATATTATTACACCCTATAATAATGTAAAGTATAAATTTTTTTGCGGTTTGGTTTTTGTTGACAATAATACAAATAAATATTAAAAAAAAAAAAAAAAATATTTTTGTTGTTGTTATTTTGTTATTGACATTTCACACTTGTTTTTTTTAAGTTTCTTGTTTGTGTGTTAAGTTTTTTTTTAATTTTTAAAATAAAACAATGAGAAATGTTTGCAAAAATAAGCCACACACTCAATCATTTAATTGCATTTATATTATTAGAAACTGTACACAATAAAAATGTATAAAATTTCATTATTATTAAGATTTATTTTAAAAGTTTTTAGAAAAAAATTACAACTTTTATATCTGTTGTGATTTATATTGACATATTGATCTGTTAAAAGTGATTCAATGGTTTAATTGAAATGATAAAAAGAGACAGTTTTATCATTCAATCCTGATATGCTAAATGTTTTCTTTTTAATTTTACAGGTAAACGTTTATATACCAATAGATAAGAATTCTGCAACAGAAACGAAAACCTATGCCAAACCTTTAAGACTCTGGCCATTTTTACTCGCTTTAAAAAGTTTATATTCAAAACACTTTCCTATACTTTTTACTTAAGTTTTAAAGTTCTACCTGTTTTGTAATAATAGATCTTTAAAATATTCCTTATTAATAACAATAATTTAATATTCATCATACAATACGTTTAAGTATTTCTTTTAAAAAATGCAAATTTTATGCACAAACACGCAGTTTTAAACAATTTTTAAAAACCCCAAAAGAATAACTTAAAATAAAAATGCAATTATTACTTATTATTCACTCACTTCATTCTTCTATTCTTTACAAATGAAATTAATTTCAAAGAGTTCCCTTTTTGTGAAAACAATGGATTTTATTTAGTAAAATTTATTGACATATTTATACCTATGCCGCCTTTTTTTATTGCAAAAAACTCTTTATGAGTAGTAAAATTGTTGTCTGTTTAAACATTAATTGTATTTATACATATTGATATTTAAAATACTTAATTTAGTGTTTAATTTAAATTTACTTTTATTTTTCTTGTATTTTTTTGCTGTAGACAGAAGTGTGAAACGGAAATTCTACAAATTCTTATACAAAACTTTGAATATTTGCACAGAGATTGTCAATATTTAGTGCAAACAATTACTTTATATTCAACACATTGTGACAAATTCATACATAAAGCAGGCATGGAAAATTGAAATTTTGAATTAGTTCTTACTTATAGTAAAACTATTTAGTTATTAAAGTTCTTAACTCGACTAAACTAGACTATAGACTAGACTATAGACTATAGATTAGACTATAGACTAGACTATAGACTAGACTATAGACTAGACTATAGACTAGACTATAGACTAGACTATAGAAGACTATAGACTAGCCTATAGACTAGACTATAGAATAGACTATAGACTAGACTATAGACTAGACTATAGACTAGACTATAGACGAATAT